TGCTCACCTACCTCATGATGAGCAACACAGATGTGACCAGTCTTCTATCGGGTACAGCTATGAAAGCTGTAATTGCATATACTACTGACTATATCACTAAGCCTGGTCTGAGAACACACACTATGATGGAGATCATCAAGAGCGTGTTTACACGTAACTCAGAGTTCTTACAGGGATCTTCCCCAAGAGCTGAAAAGGCGCGCAGATTGATGGTACAGATAGTCAATGCCATGACTGTTAAGCAGGAGATTGGAAGTCCTATGGCGTGTGCACACCTTTTAGGGCATCCAGATCACTATACCAACTATAAGTTTAGACCATTCTATTGGAGAATGTTTGTGGGAGAAGTCAAACGAGTATGGAACCAGTTACCAGCTGATGATAAATCTGAGGAGCCTTCGGTCATGTTGAAGCGTAAGGGCAGTGATGGTGAAGAATTAGTGGCACTGTCACCTGTTCTTGATTATGAACTGCGCCCTCCCCAGCTCAATACTATGTCATTATATGATTGGATCCGAGTAACTGAGAAGAAGAAGAATCCCAAGAAGAAACCGAAGAAACCAGAGGAGCCAGACGTAGAACATGATGAAGAAACAGATCATTCAGATGAAGAAACTGTAACCAATACACCCCCTCCCTCCCACTCACGGAATGCTGACATGTCTCAGAGAACACTTGTAAATGATGATGATCAGTATAACTCTGATGATACCCTCATTGATGATGAAGATGAAGCTGAACAAGATGATCGGGATTATGACAATATAGATGAGGATGAAGAAGACCTGATAGACGATGGGGAAGAAATGTCAGATGATGATGAACTCCACCAGTACCGGATCTCAGCTAAATCCAGAGGTAAGAAAAAGGTGGAGGCCCTCAGCTTTGACAAGAAGCATCCTCAGTATGAGACACATAAGATACGTCTGCTATCAGCCAAGTCAGAGAAGATTCCAAATTTTGTGGGGGGTATTCTACCTAGATATGATAAGGGCGACCATGAAGAGTATTGTAGGACAATGCTTACCCTATTCAAACCATGGACAGATCCGAAGTCCCTCAAAGCTCCAGAACAAACTTGGGAAGGTGCATTTAAGCAGCATATTTTTTCGGATAGACAACAAGAGATCATGAAGTTCTTTCATGTGCGGTATGAGTGCAATGATGCTAGAGATGATTTTAGAGCACAGCGTGTGAGTGACGCTAAGGAGAACGGGCTTAACTGGGTAGGAGGACAGTTTATGCATGAGCTCGATCGTGAAGCCTGGGCAACTAGTAAGCTTGATACTATGGAGGATGATATGGCCAGAATGGACAGTGCATTTGAA